GCACAAGCTGGGGGAGGGGCAGAGGGAGAAGCAGACTCCCCGCTGAGGGGGTAGCCCTGCTCGGGGCTCATTCCCAATCCTGGGACTCCGGGATCATGACCTGAGCCATCCAGGTGCCCCTAAAGTATTTATTTCTAAAATGAAACATTGAGAACTCCATTTTGCAGCTTAAAACCCTTTGGTGGTTCTTCACTGCCTCTCGTTAAAGTTAAGACCCTTTAGTAAGACATAGAAAATACTTTAAAATATGACTCTTACCTCTCTTTCCAGCTTCACCCTGTCATACCTCCACAGATAACCTTCTTTCCATTAATTCAAAACTATTTGCAGTTCCTGGAACAGCACATGCTTTCTTTTACCTCCCTGCCTTTGTAAATATTGTCAATATTGTTCCTTCTGCCTGGAAGTCCATGCTCAGCTCAAGTGTCAGTTCTGGAAGTTTTCCCCTGACTACCTAAAGTATGTAGATACTATTCCTCTTTGTTCCTATTGCACCTTGTCATTACTGGTTTAGTAATCCATCTTTCCCCTTAGACTGTGAGTTCCTTAGTGGGGGGATGGGGTGGGGGGGAAGGGTAGTGGAGATAAGGATTTCCTGTTACTTAGCTCTGTATCTCTCTTGTTCAGTTTTTGGCACGTAATGTTCAGTAAAAACTTGTTGAAAGTATATTCAATAAATCCAGGTGACTTGAGAACTTCTACTTGGCCTTGTGCTATTTAAAAACTGAAAAGGCATGTTTAGAAAGAACATAAAAAGTGGCAGCGCCTGGGTGGCTCAGTTGGTTAAGCACCCAACTCTTGATTTTGGTTTAGGTCATGATCTCAGTGTTGTGAGATCGAGCCCTTGTCAGCTGGGCATGGTGCCTGCTTAAAATTCTCTCCCTCTCCCCTGCACCCCCTCACACACACACTGAAGAAAAAAAAAAAGGAAAGGAAAGAACATAGAGTGGCCCACTTGACCAGACCCACTCTCTCATCCAGGGTTTTATCTCCTACATCAGTAAAATAAGACAAAAACTGACATTATTCATGTTCACAACATGCCAGATAGTACACTGGTCACTTTAATATGTTTCCTCACTTAATTTTTCATAACCTCACTATGCAGTAGTCATGATCTCTACTTTAGAGATATAGAGAGGTTAAGCAACTCAGAGCTAGCGAAGTGATGGAGCTAGGGTTTAAACTCAAGTTGGTTTCTGGTTCTAAAGCCCATTTCATCCATGGCAACAAAATATTTCAAGTAAGACCAGAGGACATGTCCTATTTTGTTCAAAAGAATGTGCACCAAACCTGACAATACTTTCGAGAAGTACCAAGATCGTCCAAAGTCCTCTTTTTTTTTTTAAGATTTTATTTATTTATTTGACAGAGAGAGAGCTAGAGCAGGAACACAAGCAGGGGGAGGAGGAGAGGGAGAAGCAGGCTCCCCGCCAAGCAGGGAGCCCGATGCGGGGCTCGATCCCAGGACCCTGGGATCATGACCTGAGCCGAAGGCAGACGCTTAACGACTGAGCCACCCAGGCGCCCCTCGTCCAAAGTCCTCTTGGCAGAATCTGATTTCAGTGCCCAACACTATACTTTTAAAAATAAGGAGAAGGCTGAAAAGCCAGAAGAGAAGATGGAGACAAAAAGAAGATATTAAAATCTCCATGACACGACTCCCAAACTTGGGCAAGTAACGTAAGTGAGGAATGTTAACTGGCAGTGTTGCGCCTTTAGCTATTGACATCAGCAAGGGCCACTGGATTATATAAGACTCTGGGGCGCCTGGGTGGCTCAGTCGGTTAAGCGACTGCCTTCGGCTCAGGTCGTGATCCTGGAGTCCCGGGATCGAGTCCCGCATCGGGCTCCCTGCTCGGCAGGGAGTCTGCTTCTCCCTCTGACCCTCCCGAACCCCCCCCCATGCTCTCTCTCTCTCAGTCTCTCTCTCTCAAATAAATAGACTCTGCACGACAGCATATACCAAACCGGCCTGTAAACTTTAAAGGAATCTTGTCAGGGTATGAACAAATATAGGACTGCGTCTGAAGCTCCCACAGTAACTGACAAAATTGAGACGTAATATGATTCAAAGGTGTTAATCCAGACGTTGCTTATCTGGACTGATGGGGGATCTAGAAGAAGAAAGATGCTACAGTAGTAAGACCAGCTGCCTGTACAAAGTACAGCCAGGCTATCGGGTTGGTTTCCAGAATAGGAGAAGCAAGAATGTTAGACAAATATTTAATCGAGAATACTACTGGAAAGTTTCCAATTTTATTTAAAAAGTGAATGGTACCTGCTAAGTATGATAATTAAGTATTTTCTTTGGGGGAAAAAAAAACAAATGTTTTTCTTTCTAAAGATTTTCTCTTGAAAAGTTATTTATTTAGAAGGATTATGTCTCAGGATCACCAAACCCTGTGTAGGTATGTGCCCTTGTGAGTTATAAATTACCTCTCCCTTGACTTAAAGATCCCAGACATCATTAAGAGCAGTGCCACTCCATTAAATGCAATCCAGAGACTTTTTCTCTTCAGGTTGTTTTTGAAGCAAGGCACTTATACCTTAGACCAATGAAAGAACCACAGTTATGCTTACAAGACTATCTTATCCTATAAACATCACAATGAAAATAAATCCTGAAAACTTTCCTAAAATTTTGCCACATAAGAAAAAAACCGTATGTTTTTTTCTGGAGGGGCCATGTAGTAATTTTTCCCACACATATTTGATCACCTGTTTCCTGCTTTAGTGAAGACTGCTTTTTATCTCTGGGTGGCAATGGAAAAGCAATTCCTTTCTGTATTAGAAGGAAGAAAAGAACCTGCTATTGTCTCATTTTATTTTTCTATATATTAAAATCCTGGGTACACAATAAGGTCGAAGTGAAGAACAGCAGTATCACTGCCAAGTTGCCATGTGATTTCAGGGAACTACTTTCATCTCAGGACCATAATTAAATGTGGGAATGAGGGAAGAAGGCAAAAATGCTAACTTCAAAGACTAAACCCTCCCCTTGGTAATGTGCTATGTGCTTTATTTCTTACCCATTTAAAAATTATATTTTCCTGTGTATAACTACACACATGAAAAAGACTTCAGGGCATATTAAAATATCAGTACTAGAGCCGCCTGGGTGGCTCCGTCGTTAAGCGTCTGCCTTCGGCTCAGGTCATGATCCCAGAGTCCTGGGATCGAGCCCTACACTGGGCTCCCTACTCAGCAGGAAGCCTGCTTCTCCCTCTCCCACTTCCCGTGCTTGTGTTCCCTCTCTCACTGTGTCTCTGTCAAATAAATAAATAAAATCTTAAAAAAAAAAAAAATATCAGTAGTAGTAGCAGCAGAAATGCAAATAATTTTTTTTTTAAAGTAAACTCTATGCCCAATGTGGGACTTGAACTCATGACCCCGAGATCAAGAGTCATATGCTCTACCAACTGAGCCAGCCAGGCACCCCAAGAATTGCAAATAATTTCTTTGTATTTTTCTGTATTTCCTAACCTTTCTAAATGAATATGCATTACTTTTGTTATAAAAAATGTTATTTAATTATTTTCTTATGCAAGCTTTTGTATCTGGTTTCATAATGAAGTAATCTGCAAAACCTGAAGAGTCTGGTAAACAATTTATGAAGTGCTGATAAATCCTTAATGTCCTCCAACCATTTAAAAACAGTTAAAAATAGGGGCACCTGGGTAGCTCAGTTGGTTAAGCATATGCCTTCGGCTCAGGTCATGATCCCAGGGTCCTGGGCCCTAAGCCCCTCATGGAGCTCTCTGCTTCTCCCTCTCCTCCCCGCTCGTGCTCTCTCTCATTATCTCTCAGTCTCTCAAATAAATAAGTAAAATCTTTAAAAAAACAGTTAAAATAGTTTCCTAAAAGGAAAAGTAGTTAATAGAAAGAATGGTAAGTAATGTAAGCAACTGGTAACTAATACAAACATTCTCTTTTATAAGGATAATATAAAACCTTAGTAATTTAGCAAGTGGATTTTGAAAGTCAAAGTCAATGATTGTGGACTTAATGTATCTGGGTGGAAAAGAAATAGCTCAACTTAAAAGGTGTAGCTTCATTATATTTTAATGTTTTCTGATTTAAAGATGGCAAGGCTATTCTCAGGAATGTGAACGAAAATATGGTTGTATCTGTGACTTAATTCCTTAGTAGATTTTCTTATTAGGTAACATGGCTCTGAAACCAGTAAAGACATGCAAAGAAAATTATCATTCTCTTGCCAGTCATGACAGCAACTGGAATATAAAATATTAAAGATCAAAGAATCCTAAAACTTGACCTGAACAGTAACTGTAGATTAAGTGATATATACTACAAATCAACACTATCACACTTCAATCAGAATGATTTATATTTTTCTTTTATTTATTTATTTATTTATTGCCTGAGTGCCCTGCACCTCAGGCTTAAATCTTATTTTATTGCAATCAAGTATAAAACATAAGAATGACTGAATAAATTCAATAAACGGTTGTTTGTCATCTCGGAAGAGAAATGTCTTTTAGGTGATTTGGGGATAGATGAAAGAAAGAAGTGATCCAATCCTAGGGTGCTTAGATTTAATTGACGATACTAACAATGATATGTACAGATGGCAGTTAAGTATATTTACACAAGATAAATATATCTTATGGTGGCGGCAATGGTGGAAACTTGGGGAAAAGGCAACTTTTATCAAAGCTGGTCTCGAGTTTAATTACAGTGTCTTGTTAATTTTTTAGTGCATTCTCAGGTATGATACTGTTACACTAAGCACCAAAATAAGCCAGTCAGTAATGTTATTGAGTCCATACAAGCAGAATTAGACAGTTGACAGAACAATTTTGAAAGAAGAAAATAATCATGTCAGTTATAAAGCTAACTTCTAATGAGAGCCCGGGAATCAATATACGTTGAATTTTGAGTTTGAAAAAAAAATGCCTTTCCCTAATATTTTATTCAATGTTTCCAAAGATCTATCTCTAGAATACCTATGAAAAATTTATCTTCATATATGTCCATGTTCAAATGGATAGTATAGACAAATACGGATAAATATGGGTGTTCTTACTTGCTAAAAACCAGACAAATTTTAAGAGAGGGCCATTAACATGCTAAGGTGACATTTTACTTTATCGAATGGACGAAACTGAGAAGTAGGAAACACAAATAATAACTGCAAAAAAAATGTTCATAGTCCAGCCAGACCAAAATACAAATTCTGTCACTAAATTGCATGAATATCCTGGTCTAACACACTTTACTAACACCATCTTAAACCATCTCAAACATTCTACTCCAAGTCAGCAAAGGGTTTGACCCTGACATAAATATACTTGGGGACTCAGGCACAGAATACCAAAAATACTTTTTTTGATGAAGCTCGAATAATTCTTAGAGATACAAAACGTCATTTGGTTTCACAATGAGGTGTTTTTGGTTTGTTTGCTTCTGGATATCAATCGAGTTTTCTTTTGACGTTGTGTGTGAGGTTTGATTTAATTGATGGGAATTTAAGCTATTGACCTAAATATCTCCAATAAACATGTAAAGGAAACTACTAATTATTTTCTTCTAAAAAATTTAATTCCTTTTATTGAATGATTTTTTGCTTTTTATTTTATTATTTTTAATAATAAATATATTTTTATTGTTTATAAAATATATAAACATGGGGCTTGAACTCACAACCCTGAGATCAAGACCTGAGCTGAGATCAAGAGTCGGACCCTTAACCTGACTGAGCCGCCCAGGCACCCCTATTGAATGATTTTAATACCAGAAACCAGATCATCCCAGGGCCAAACAAAAGCCATGACACCTCTGTTTCAACCTCAGGCAAGGCCTCATTTTTCATCCTTATCTTCTGGTTCCTATACACTGAGAGAGATCCTATTTCAGGTTCTGGGACATCCTGGGACTCAACCTGGGGCATTTAACTTAATATGAAGGGAATCCAGCATTAATGAATCAATTCATCAGTGGCTTCAGGATCTTAGAGAACCATTTTCTTTTCTGAGAGCCATTTTTAATACCCAGTTTCATAAATCATTAGGGTCTCACAAATTCCAACTTTCTCCTTAATTCACACTCTGTAACTTTTACCACATTTTCATCTGGGGACTGAGTGACTTAGGAGACAGCTGTGGCAGGATAGAAAGTCACCGGACTGAAACATCGAAGACCTGGGTTCTAGTTCCAGTTCTTTCACTTAAAAACTGCTCATTCCTGGGCAGGCCTCTCAACCTCTGAGACTCTGTTTTATCAGAAGAAGTAAGAACAGGGGCACCTGGGTGGCTCAGTCATTAAGCATCTGCCTTCCGCTCAGGCCATGGTCCCAGGGTCCGGGATCAAGCCCTGCATTAGGCTCCCTGCTCAGCAGGAAGCCTGCTTCTCCCTCTCCCACTCCCCCTGCTTGTGTTCCTGCCTCACTATCTCGCTCTCTGTCAAATAAATAAATAAAATCTTTAAAAAAAAAAAAAAAAGAAGTAAGAACATCACTGTTATGGTTATCATGAGAGTTCACCGCACAGGTGTTCACAATGAAATGATGGGTAAATACTAGATACTATTTGTCTTTGTACTCTATTTCTTAAAATTTTACTTTTTGCAAAGAAACATGAACCAGAGCAATAAAGGCACCTAGTCCCTACTTGGAAGTGTTTCTTAAGCACCCAAAGTGGGCCAATCCTATAGATTTAACTAAGGCTGGTCTTCCTTTTGGCTTAGCAAGTTCTCAGCCAGGTTCTCCTTATATCTTAGAGAACATCACCAGACAGAATTTTGAAGAAAGAAATTGTGACAGAATATAAGAATTAAAATAGGCACACTATGAGACTATTTAATAAATATTCCTGAGCCGAGATCCTCATGAAAGTTTTGAGATATATACTGTCTGTTAAGAAAGAAAATTAGGAAAAACATGTCTGATTAGTCACAAAATTTATAATCATTTAAAGCTTAATAGATTTACTGTTGTTTCTAAGCCCAAATCATATCTACGTTACTACCCACAGATTTTGCTTCCTGAAATTATTAAATTTTCTGTAAAAAGAGTCTAAGATTTAACATACTACCTCTATAGTCACTTTCCACAATGGAACCCTAAATCTACCACATCTATTAAACTACCATTGGTTTTCACATTCTCTTCATTCTATTTTACCATTCTTTAAATTATTTTTTATTTTTTATTTTTTTTAAAGATTTTATTTATTTATTTGAGAGACAGAATGAGAGAGAGAGAGAGAGACATAAGAGGGGGGAGGGTCAAAGGGAGAAGGAGACTCCCTGCTGAGCCAGGAACCCGATGCGGGACTTGATCCAGGGACTCCAGGATCATGACCTGAGCTGAAGGCAGTCGCTTAACCAACTGAGCCACCCAGGCACCCTGATATGATATCCACCATTCTTTTTAAAAAAAAAATTTTTTAGGTAATCTCCATACCCATGTGTCAAGAGACACATGCTCCACGGAATGAGCCAGCCAGGCACTCCTCGATTTTACCAGAGACCTAGGACTGGCCCTACACATGCTGTTCAATGATACGATCAGCTCTGTAATGTTACCATCTTTGCAATGACTTTGTGGCCTGTTCAAATGCAAATACCTCAGGGAAAGTTAATACATTAAACTGTTATTGGTGTTTCCGTATGTCACACAAAGGGGATCTGGACTTTTTAATAAGATTTACATAATTAAAAAAATTAATTTGGTAAGAAAAAGGGAGTGAGCAGAAGGTGGCAACGGGATTGAGGGACAGGGTTGTGCACAGACACACATTCACCCACAGAGCACATTACCCTTGCTTTGCAAACCCAGTAAGAAACGCTTTGCACCGCAAATGCCCACAGAACCAGCAGGAATCGAGGTTATCTTGCTAAGCACAGAAGGAAGATACCCAGCAGTAGTGTCCAGCTCCTGGTTCTTTACTAAAGTAAACAATAAATATTACAGTCACTTAACTTATCAACAGTCTATTTAAGTAATACCCCCAAATGGTCTGCAACATGCAAACTAAAACATGTAGAATCCAATCCTGATTAGATCAGTTAATTGCGAGTGCTTTGTTTCTACGTTCTTCTCTTTAACAAAACATGGCAAGTTTATGGTTCAGCAAAGAACGGCTTCAAATGCCTTGGGGGAAAGCTCTTTAAAAAAAAAAAATGTCTATATATTAATTTAATATCAATCTTTGTAATCTTATTCCTATTTTGAAAATTAATATTGGTATTTCCTATGGTTGTATAATAATCAGTAAGAATGTCAACCTGATGATTAAAAAAAAAATCTGTTAAACCAAATGCTTTTATATGGGCACTTGCAATAAGAGATAAATCAGATGTGGTAATAGCTTCTTTTGTAAAAGCCATGTATAAACAGCACATAAAGATGACAAGTCAAGCAGCAAAAGCCCATTCTTCAGCCAAAAAAGGAAACGAATGAAGAAAGAACAAAAATCACCAAAAAGAAAATCATTCCCTGGCCCCCAACCCCCAAAAGCCTCATAATTAATAGTTTTGGTACACTTTCAGTGGAAAACTCAGGCCCGCTGACAGTCTGAAAAAGGACGTTAGAATCACAAACACTCAGGATGGGGATAAACTAACAACAGAGTAACCATGCGGCTAGCAAAAGATGATTTAAAAATTCTCTTTCCTCTCTAGTGTGCCATTCTTTATCTTGCGATACATTTCTCTTCATTCTAAATTTTCTCTCTTGGCTATCTATATCCACCCCCACTTTCTTTTAAAAGTAAAGTTAGTATGCTATTGGTCCCTAGCTAGAAATACATCCTTGTAGTGCTCACTAGCTTCTCCACAAAACTTAAGTCATTTCCATGGTTCATTGCTATTCTCTGGCATATAAAGATTACATCTGGATAAAGGAGCTTACTCAGATGTTGGCCTTTATTAAATTACAGTTGGTAAAACTGCTTATTATAAGAAAATCACTCCATAATGCAGCCTCTTAACAAATGCCAGCAAATGAAATTTGCCAATGACAGTTATCCTTCAAACATGGTTTTTATAATTTCCTTAATAGTGCTGTTATTAGATTATCCCCAGAAAAGGTGACTGTAAAAGCAAACAGCTTCGAAATAAGTGCCTGATGCAAAATTTTATCTATTAGGTAATAGAAAATTTTGCCTTAACACTGCACTCACCAGCAAGGACTCCACAGATCATATGAGTGTTCTCAAACCTGAATAGAGCTATAGAAGTCAAAGTTTTCAGCAAATATTAAAAGTTATACTATACATGTCTAGGAGACCAGAAGCCTTTGTTTGGTCAATTTTATTTCAAGATACTAAGAAGGGCTAAGATAGAGAAATGGAGATGGAGAGGAAGGAGTTATAACCAGTACAAAAACTCTGATCATTTAGTATGGAACACAATTAAATACATTTGGCAGGATTTCTCAGAAGTCTCAATTCCAAAAATGATTAAAGACATAATAAGTACTTAGAAAAACATTATGGCCCAATTTAATATCTAGAAAATAGCATCTTGATTCCACAGAACTAAGTACAACAGGAAACTATTATTAGATACTAACTAGCCACGTCTTCTCTTCCTGAAGAATCCTATAATAATGAAAATGACTTTCCATGTTAACATTTTCAACAAGTTCCTAAAAAGAATATGGCTTTGAAGAAACTCTTCAAATTTTTATACTACTCAGACATGGCCATAAAGTACATACTTTGAGCTAGTAAACAGACCACTTCAAAATGTGGAGTGTTGGGGTTTTAAGTAATTACCTGGGTAATACAATAGAATCTAGAACTGTCAGAGTAACATAAGAGATAAGGTTTACCCAAGGTGAAGTGAAAGATAAAGTGGTATACCTTGTGTTAATTCCACATTACAGGAGCACGCTCTTCTCACACCCACATATCCACACCCACCCCATTCTTCACTCTTCACTATGATCACAGTGGCAATACTGGATGGTTAATAACCACTAATTTGTAGAGCGCTTTTTAAAAAAACAAAAGACAAACTCAGCGTATTAAAAATGCTTCTAACAGATGTGACAATTTCATGTGTTGTAGTGACTGATTAAGATGGTTAGAAAAAAGTTATTCATAACACTTGGTATAAATAAGTCAAATGAGTTCCAAGCTGATTTTAAAACATTAATATTCTAAGAACTGAACACATGTCAAGGTTATCTCTGCTTTAGGACTGAGCAAAAGACAATTACTGGGACACAGAGAAGAGTGAAAATATGGAAAAACAAGGGAACTTTTCTAGAAAGACTGGCTGACAATATTTCTTGCTAATCCCCCAAAGCAGAGGTTTCTCTTCCTTTCCCTTTTTTTTTTTTTTTTTTTGAGTGGGTCTATATACTGCATTGCTGGCTCCTATTTCCTTAATGACTACTATCACCCAGAATCAGATTTTCATTAAGATTTATTCATGATAAATTTACATATTAGCAGCAAATAATGTAAGAAAAATATCAAAGAAAACGTTCCAAAAGAGTTCTTAGCCAATTTCTTTAGGCTTAAATATCTTGCTGAACTGCTAAGGGATAAACAATTTATTCAGCCTAGTATCAGAGCTAAAGCATCCTGGACCAGGGAACAGTAAGGAACATAAGTTTATGGATTTATTAGAAAGCACCTCCCAAAGCTAAACACAGACCAAGGACTCCTTCAGAACACAATCATGTCCATGTCAACTAGGAAGCAAAGACACTTCCGAAAGAATATAAATTTATTTTATTCTGATTTATTGGTAAATACTGCCCCAATAGGCCCTGAATCAGGGGGAATTCCTCTTAGGGAAATCTCTTTATTTAGAAAGAGGAACCCTTATAAAATATTTTCCTGAGATTCCCAACCTTAAATTTATACAACTGCTTGAAACACTAAGGTGTACCAAAGCTTCAGAGTAAAAAATCATTTCACGTTCTTTACCATGTTTGTTAGATATTCCTAAAACCTATCTAAAGAGAAAGTGAATTTGGGAATTGTTTCTTTATTCCTTAGGGGAAAATGAAGGCAGACCCTTGAAAACCAAGCCACACAAAGGGGTTAGCTGAATTTATCACTAAATATGTTAAGAGCACAGTTAACATTGAACAACCTGGAGAACTGACAGAGGCAGGGGGGTTGTGGTGGCTACAGATATGTTAGATTACAGTTCTGGTGCACCCCAATTGCTAAATAAATAGAAACAAATGCCTTACATTTTGTTTTCCATTTCTGGTCATAAACAAGACCAAAAATACTTCAACACTGAATAAAGATGCTAAGAACATCTACAGCTCTTCAAATAGTACAAAGGCAGAAAGAGTAAATTAATCAGTTCTCTGGTTCTCTAGACCTCTATCAGGGGTCAGCAAACTACAGCCAACAGTCCAAATCCAGCCCGCTCCTTGTTTTTGTATTGCTCTGAGCTAAGAATGGTTTTACATTTTTTAATGGTTTGGAAAACACAGAATGATATTTAGTGACCATAAAAATTATATGAAATTCAAATTTCAGTGTCCATAAATAAAGTCTGATTGGAATACGTTCATGTTCATTTGTTTGTTTATTGTCTATGGCAAAGTTGAGTGTTTACACCAGTGATTATATGGCCTGCAAAGCCTGAAATATTTATTATCTGGACATTTATAGAAAAAGTTTGCCAACTCCTGGTCTACCTGATATACAAAACCCTGATATCACAAGAGTTTGATACATTTGATGTTTTTATACCATGTGAAACACAAGAAAAAAGGATCAAACTCTTCTCTGCAATGTATTTTAGATAAACACAAATTGTCAAATATCAGGTTCCCTTTATGGTATCACACTCCGAGATGCATTTATACATATAAACAAGCACCCAGTCTCAATAATACCTTTCATAGGGAAAACGGCTGTTACCTTTGGTAAATGGATAAGAGCTTTTAATTGAACCTAATTACAAGACATTAACAAGAGAGACTGACACCTACCACAGTAGATTCTTTGAAGAAACCACGGGCCACACTACAGGATTAATAACAGAGATAGTGGCTTCTGGCCCATATATGGGTTTTTTGGGCTACTTGCATATACTGATTAGGCATATGGTGATTAATTTGGCATAAATTTGTGTCCCCATACAAGAGATTCTACGTGAAAAGTTTATCTGTGACTAATCATTTAATCCGATTTAACAAGTTTTAATTATTTGTTATGTATCAGAGATACAAAGGTGACAGATTGGCAAAGAGGAATAAAACAAAGCCTCTCACCTTTGAGAATCACAGTTTTGAGGAGACAGGTACAAGCTAAAAGAGATGGATTAACAACATTTCAAATTTTTAATACCACTTTTTCTGGTGGGGATCTAAGCCATAATCAGAAGGTTAAACAGAAAGTAAGTTTCCATAAGTTTATCGTATCACAATGATATAAATTAAATCACATAGGGGTGCTAAAGTATGTAAAGATTAGTCAGTCAGAGAAGGCAAGCAAACTTAGAATGCAGGCTCTGGCAGTATGCTTCTTCAAAATAGTAAGGCATTCTGTCTTGTCAACAGATTCTGAGCTATAAGAAGTTTCCAAAGCTACACAACTATCCCACCTCCACTCTTTCATCTAAAAAAAAAAAAATCCCATGTGCCTGTATCATCTGTGAAGAAGCTCAGGGATTTCCAGGAATTTCAAGATGTTCTTTTTAAGAGAGAGGGCAAGTCAATGGGTAAGAACATAAGATGGATAAACCACTGGCAAGCAACCTATGGGCAATGGAGCCAGAAAGAAAAAGAGCTGATAAAACAAGAACAGCTAGAAAAAAGAAAGAAGAAAGCAGGATAACATGCTAGGAAGAAGACTGGGGCAGATCTGTATATCAGATGGTAAGTTATCAGAGGGCAAAACTATGACTAATTCCAACATGAGAGTTTCATTTAACTATGTGAAGAGTTTATAATATGGAAGATAAAAATTCTTCAGAAGGCCTCCATTCAGGACCAAGAATTGAAATCTATAGGGAAACAGACTTCGAGTTAATATAAGAATGATTTATATGCAAAAATCAGAGATGTCCAAAGATGTAGTATGCTGTATCTTGGGAGGCTAGAGACCACTTGGTCTATAAATGGTTTTAAATCACTAAATGATATTGTACAGAAGAGTCAAGCATTGGAGTGGAGAAGAGTTAGATTAGGGGCTTATCCAACCCTAAAATTCTAATAATGCTGCCTCTTCACATCTCTGCAATACATACTGAGGGCAATGAATAAATGCATAGTAGTAACCATGGTTTCCCCTTAATTTTTAGTCTCTGTGTTTTATTGAGATAGGATCCTGTACATATGAAGACTCTTCTTTAAGGAGATAGTAGAGGAGGGGCGCCTGGGTGGCTCAGTTGGTTAAGCGACTGCCTTCGGCTCAGGTCATGATCCTGGAGTCCCAGGATCGAGTCCCGCATCGGGCTCCCTGCTCAGTGGGGAGTCTGCTTCTCCCTCTGACTCTCCCCCCTCTCATGTACTCTCTCTCATTCTCGCTCTCTCAAATAAATAAATAAATCTTAAAAAAAAAAAGGAGATAGTAGAGGAGAAAATGAGAGACTAAACTGCACCCTTTAATGATTTGGGGGGGACCTGAAGAGATAGTTGGGACTCACGCTTCTCCTGCCCTCTAATCTTTGAAATGTTAGACTTACTCTATTATTTACTGCAAACAGAATTCTGGCTATGATAAAGTGGAAGGCTGTTCTCTAGGATATCAATCACAAAAGATCAGAAAACCATTTCTAATAGCATACACTTCCTCAATGACCTGTCACCCACACATTTAGTTAGGCTATGATTGAAGTTATTTAGCTTTTAGCTTGTATTTCTGATCTGCGGGAGTAACAAACTACTTCTTCTTTTTGTCTTTCAAGTTCTAGTATGATAAGAATTTCATTTATGAAGTGAAATACTCCATGAATTTGTAACTGTTGATCATAGCCACCACTGATGGCCTTCTGGCTTCCTCGCTCTAACAGCCATACCTTCTTAACCGTTTCCGGTGCCCAATCCCAGGTCCACACCAATGTTTGTTTGTTTGTTTGTATCATGCTCTGCTGCAGTAAAGAAGGAAATCCTAAGGCATGAGGGGTAACAGAAACAGAAATGAGAGCAGACTCATTGATTCACTATCCACTACAATGTGGAGGAGGCCAATACAGTTATCCCACATGCCATGCATAATGGAGACTAGAACAAGGACTCGTCTCCATTTCTAGTACCAAAATTACAAACAACAGGGTTAGTTTGAGTGCAATAAAAACAAGCAACATTTTTTTCTCAGTGTGGTAAAGAATGCTGTAAAGAAGTTTGGGATTTTATAATTTCTGTAAAGAATACAAGGGAAGGAAACTGTAGAGAAGTTCTATATATCTTTACTATACTCAATATGTTTGGCAAAACAACAACAACAACAAAAACAGCAACAATGCTAAAGTGGTCTCATATTATTTTTGAATTTTCTGTCTTCCCAGTCTCTTCAACAAATGGTGTTGGGAAAATTGGATACCCACATGCAGAAGAATGAAACTGGACTATTTCCTTACACCACACACAAAAACAGACTCCAAATGGTTGAAAGACCTCAATGTGAGACAGGAGTCCATCAAAATCCTAAAGGAGAACACAGGCAGCAACCTCTTTGACCTCAGCCGAAGCAACTTCTTCCTAGAAACATCGCCAAAGGCAAGGGAAGCAAGGGCAAAAATGAACTATTGGGACTTCATCAAGATAAAAAGCTTTGGCAAAGCAAAGGAAACAGTCAACAAAACCAAAAGACAACCGACAGAATGGGAGAAGATATTTGCAAATGACATATCAGATAAAGGGCTAGGATCCAAAATCTATAAAGAACTCATCAAACTCAACACCCAAAGAACAAAGAATCCAATCAAGAAATGGGCAGAAGACATGAACAGACATTTTTCCAAAGAAGACATCCAAATGGCCAACAGACACATGAAAAAGTGCTCAATATCGCTCGGCAATAGGGAAATCCAAATCAAAACCTCAATGAGGTACCACCTCACACCAGTCAGAATGGCTAAAATTAACAAGTCAGGAAACGACAGATGTTGGCGGGGATGGGGAGAAAGGGGAACCCTCCTACACTATTGGTGGGAATGCAAGCTGGTGGAGCCACTCTGGAAAACTGTATGGAGGTTCCTCAAAAAGTTGAAAATAGAGCTACCCTATGATCCAGCAATTGCACTACTGGGTATTTAACCCAAAGATACAAAAGTAGGGATCCGAAGGGGTATGTGCACCCCGATGTTTATAGCAGCAATGTCCACAATAGCCAAACTGTGGAAAGAGCCAAGATGTCCATCGACAGATGAATGGATAAAGAAGATGTGGTATATATATATATATACAATGGAATATTATGCAGCCATCAAAAGGAATGAGATCTTGCCATTTGCAACGACGTGGATGGAACTGGAGGGTATTATGTTGAGTGAAATAAGTCAAACAGAGAAAGACATGTATCATATGATCTCACTGATATGAGGAATTCTTAATTGCAGGAAACAAACTGAGGGTTGCTGGAGTGGGGGGTGGGGTGGGAGGGATGGGGTGACTGGGTGATAGACACTGGGGAGGGTATGTGCTCTGGTAAGCGCTGTGAATTGTGCAAGACTGTTGAATCTCAGATCTGTACCTCTGAAACAAATAATGCAATATATGTTAAGAAAAAAAAAAAGAAGAAGAAGGTAGCGGGAGGGGAAGAATGAAGCGGGGGAAATCGGAGGGGTAGATGAACCATGAGAGACGATGGACTCTGAAAAACAAACAGGGTTCTAGAGGGGAGGGGGGTGGGAGGATGGGTTAGCCTGGTGGTGGGTATTGAGGAGGGTACATTCTGCATGGAGCACTGGGTGTTATGCACAAACAATGAATCATGGAACACTTCATCTAAAACTAATGATGTAATGTATGGGGATTAACATAAGAATAAAAATAAATAAATAAATAAATAAATGAATTTTGTCTTCCTTTTGTAAATAAGTAATCACTAGGTAAAGCCCAAGCATAAATTTTGCTTGCTAATGCCTTAAATAACCAAACCTCTTATGCCTTATGCCTACTGTATTCTCCATGCTTATCTACAGGAAATATTATGAAAGTAACTTAGGAATGTAGGAGACAGTAAATTGGTTTATATCCACAGAAAATTCAGAGAAAAATTTACATGCACTAGAAAGAAATGTACTAGGATCTAGGATGACAAGTGGAAACCTAATCCACAGAAAATCCCCAGTCTAATATTAGTCAACAGAGTAAGTATATTCTCCCACCAAAACTTTTACCAGAAATGTAAACAAGTTGTAAAATTGATCCATGCAAACTGAATCTCCTTCATATTCTAAGTGATAGCATAAGAAAATGGCTAAAAGATAGGTCCAAAAGATTGATGCTGGGTTTATTTTCAAGTTTGGTCCACTGTAAGAATACCATAAGGATAAGATGAATTGCTTAAGAGTATGATGAATTTGGAAAGACATTTCTACCTTCAGTAGTTTTAAGTGCTTGGTCAAATACCAGTAAGAAGTAGATGGAAATTAACACAACTATTTAACTGCTTGCTTTCATACGAAAAATTCCAAGAAATTAATGTCTGTTGGTTTTTAAGTTTTCATATTCCCAGTCCCCAAAAGACCAAGAAATGAACAACAACCAGAGCTTCTGGTTCCTAGAACACGTTACAGATTCATTCTCATGAGGTAGGTTTGTCTCTATGTTACTAGGCGGAAATCTGGGCACCAAGTAGTTAAGTGAATTTCTCAGAGTCACCCTAGAAATTATTAATAGTAAAACCGAGGAAAAAAAACCCCAAGACTTTTTACTGGTCTGTACTGATACCTTTAGTTCAAATTGTTTGTTTTTGTTTTGTTTGTTTTGACTTATCAACTGGCCATTAAGAAGCTGAACCAGAATAAAACCAATACACAGTTATTTGGATCTGTCTCTGGCATTCAGAATGGAATGAGATGTGAGAAGGAAACTAAGACTATTTACAGCTTTGTTACAAATGTCAGCAGTATTAACGTTAGTTAATACAAAGCTGTAATGTCTAGTATTTTTCCTCTGATAACCGTGATGGGTATATCTTTTGAACCTGCACTGACCAGCTTAATCCAGTACAAAGGTTTGGCACTTCTCCTCTCAACCATTCTTATCCTATCAATCAAAGAAAGGGCCTCTTCTTTAACCATCAGTAAGGATCTCTGAGGATTCCTGCTGCACTTCAAAAAAGTGAAAAATATTATTGGCTTACGCTAGACTTTTAATGGACTTGTAATAACTCTAATACAAAGGGAAACATAATCCAAGGTGAAGTTTGCAATAATTATTAAAAAGCTGTGTACCAGGATGAAAACTGGAAATATAATCATAAACAGTTCTAAAATGAATCAGATTTTTATTATTTCCTTTTCAGTTCCCTGAAAAAATTTTAAAAGACTCTAACCAATGTTATAGTTTTGTTATTTCATAAGGAAAGTTCTTACACTTCTACTTCAAAGATAAAGGGGAGTACTTATGATGATCACTTTCTGTGTCAGAGGACAGCTTTGCAACGTGTCAAGCTGATTGAGGTCTCTCTTTTCTTAATTATGAGTGAATCAAGAAATATGCTTAGTTACAAAATATTTGTTATAAACAGACATAGCCTGTGACATGAAAGATACACACCCATAACAGATTTTAAAATTCAACCCGCCCCTTACTTTTCCCATGTTTTGGGAAAGCCTATGATGACAGAAGAGCAGTTTTCAGGAAATACCAGAGATTTCTACATGTCTCCAGAGAAAATAGAATCGTGGTGGGTATTGAAGGACAAAAGATTCTTGGCATTAGTGTTCTCTCTCTCTCTTTTTTTTTTGCTGTAAGAAGCCATCATCTTAAAAACAAAGTCTTGTTTAGAAGTTTAATCAACTAAAAAGTGTTGAGAAGTAAAACAAAGTGCAAAAATCTCAGTTTGATAACCCCATGAACTCAGATTTTAAAACAAATATTTGAGACAACATTAACCAAATCATCCATATTGGTACATTCAAGTGCCATAAAAAGTAAGCTACATGCAAGATGTCTTTAATACCGAGGTAAAAAATAACAGGTTAGGCATCTGAGTTGTGTTGTGAAAACAAAGCACGCTCATATTTACTTCAGGGAAGCCTTAAAAATCAACATGCAAACAGAGGGACACATACTTGTCACAATAGAACGTTAGCTCACAAGGCCATCAATTAAAAACAACTGATTTCAACACAAATGTAAGAATAAACAGGTCTGAAGTCTATCAGGGAAACAATAAATATATCAATATATATTTTAAGCTTGCGATAATGGCTAAATATTGCTTCTAGCAATGTAATTACTCAAGTCATAAAGAAGTAACACAGTATTAATTCAGAGAAGGGTATATTTATGTACAGATCTTGAATAAATCTGTATTCTAGGACTTTTAAAGATGGCTACACGTGGTCTGGAAATTCAGCCCTGGCTGGAGGCTGAGGGACACCAGCACAGCACCATTTTCCTTAAACCATCAACATTCTACTTGTGAAAAGTTGGCGTTTAATCTTTGCAGATCCCTTCTATACACCAGGCAGGACAAAGGTGTTTTTCCCTGTACATTTCAGAAGTACACGTAAGAAGGCCACAAAAGTCAAAAGCCCTTTTCCAAAAAAAGGCCTTTGTATATACTGGTTTGATATCTCAAGAAAAGGAGTGGTTATGGATTCATAGATTAAAACGTTATCATTTTAAGGCTTTTGAAAAATTAGCAAGTTGAATTTTTTTTCTTAAACTACAGAGCCCATGCCACACAAATGACTATAGAAGATTAGGAAATATTCCATCAATTGTTTCTACAGAGTATCCTACTTTGCGTGTAACACTGGAGAGGACACGACAGCAGAGAACAATACGAACATGCAGGATAAAAGATTTAAACCTTTTGGGGAAAGTACCAAGTGTCATACGCTTAAATCTGATTTGTCTGAACTTGTTCAATGTCAGGGAGGAAAGCTGACTTGGGCAATCCATTGCTACTCCTTTGTACCCCACAATACACATTCTATAAAGAGTAACATTTTATTGACAGAAAAATGATCACAAAGAGCTCCCCTAGGACAGTGAACTATCAAGATCAGAGGGTATCATACAGGAGATAACACAGTAGAAGTAAATGACAAAAGTTCGATGGTTTTAGTCTTGACATTTCAGATGAGCACCCTGTTTTCCGATCACAGAAAGACCAGCCACCAAACAGCCAACGCAAGAATCACAAGAAAAGACATCAGGAAAGGAATACGAGGAGATGGAAAAGTACTAGAGTAGAGGTGGCACTTTTTGAGAGACTTGTGATCCTCAGGGATTGGAATAGAAACCTTGGGAAGAATTTCTTCATTGTCTTGCTGGGGCAAGGCTCTCTCAGTAGATCTCTCTTGCCTTTTAATTTTCTCTTCATCCTGCACTAACAGAGCACGTTGCTGTGTCTGCTTTCACGGTAGAAGATCAAGAAAGACAGAGAAAGATGAACAAAATGACAGATGGAAAAATGCTCAAAAATGATACTTGGGGATGTGCAAAGGATTTGGGAAGATCTTTTGGGACACTCTTTATTTCACTTTACTTTGGCAATTTATCCCAGCAAAGTTTCTATAACACAGTAGAGTATTCAATAGATAATTTTTTGAATGAATGAACATTAGAAGCCCTGAAAGTTCAAGCAATTGCTTGACTTCCTTAGTTACAGTATTTGTTCCTCCTTCAAGGATACTCACATATGAATTTTGGGTCAGTTTTCCTTGTTTTAGTGCTGCCAATTTTTCTTAGATCACTTGGGCAAAGCCAATAATGAAGCATTCTTCTCACCATCAGAAAAGTTACTTTTATTATAAATAGAACGGCAGAATATAAAAAGTTATTCTCATATCCCTTCATATAGACTTTAAAAGCTGCAACAGTTCATTCAGTATGGCAATTAGCTTTTGCTCAAGGGAATAAAAATTTTAATCCCATACATTTTAAAGATTGCAAAAGAAAAACAAAAGTATAAAAGTTTGTATGTGCTTCCAAGGTCTATTAAAAACAAACGAAAACCCCCCACAAATCTCAACAACTGTAGACTCCCTCCCCCTCTTGCAGAATCATGATTAAAAATAGCAACCATCGTGAAGGTTTATACATCACATTAAGCAAAGTACTTTTGACACTTTTAAGGTAAGTTGTCTTTTCCAATTGTCCAACTGAGAAGTTTTTCTCCCCCGACAATTTCTGTGCTCTGCCATCTAGTCAAGAGATGTTATCTATGAAAGGAAAAACTTGGCTCTAAGTTCTCTCAGTGGGGCCAGCCTTCTCTGGTCAGTTTGGAATTTTGACACGGGTTCTTTGCACACCCCTAAGTGATATGTATCAGGGAAAAAGTAGCTGGGGGACTGGTCAGCAAAAAAGAAAAAAGGAAAAGAAAGGATGCAAAATCATAATGATTTTTAAAAGAATATAAAGAGGGAGAAGAAAGACAACATAAAAAGAACAGGGTACAATTAAATTCATTTTCTCTCTGAATACATACTTACATCTTCATGCAGCTTTTCAACCAGCCATGCGCCGAAATAAGCAAACTGAAAGCTGCAAAAGCTGCAGCAGTGGAAATGTCATGTGTTAGGTCAAAAGGCAGTGGGGTGTGAATTCACTAATAGAGCCAAAAGAAAAAAAATTACTCAGCAGCTGCTGTTCAGTTCTAGGGGGAATATCTGCTTAGTGCCATGACAAGAGCAAATTCGGATTGAGAAGCACAAGTCATAACAGCAGCTTTACCTCTGGCCCACCAACCTTTCTTTCCGAGGGAAGGACAGAGGTTTTCTTCACCTGGTCATACACAAATTATATAAAATTCAGTAGCCTTGCAATGTAACAACAACGCTGCCAAAGACGGAAGAGGTATCCCCAGAGAACAGAAATATTGCCCTAATTATTAAAGAAAAAGTAAGATATGCCAGAAAGTGGAGTTATCCTTTTTTATAAAAGGTTATCATAGGACAGTTCTTCTTATTTATTCTGTTATTCATTTAGAGGAGTAATACACAGACGCATAGAGCTAAAGTGGCTCAAGTACTCCCCACCAATCTAATTTATAAAAGTCCTTTCTTTAAAGTCCACAGAATGACATACCCATTTCCAACCAGCCCTGAGATGATTTCTGGAAGGTTTCTATTAAGATACAAGTTATTTTCTGGAAATGGAGACTGATTCAAATTTACCAAACTTCATCCAAGAGAGCATTAAGTTACTTTTTCAAAGTAATTGAGCATCTTTTACTACTTCCACAGAGTCGAAAAGAAAACTTCTAGAAACTATGCAGTTATGGTTTACAGAGAGGGTTAACCAGGCAAGATAGCAACAAGGCAACAAGACTTTCTCCTGAAGTCTAGATTTATAGAAAGCAGAGTCACTGTCTCAGTTCAGGCCACATTATCTAGATAAAACTGATGTCCATTTACATCAGGGAATGGAGGCTGAAGAGGACAGTGAATAAAAACAGCTGCATCCTATCACCCCCGGTAACTAGCTACCCATCATTCAAGAATTCTCCAGTCTTACTTGGTGAAACTGGTCTGACTCTACTTGGAGAATTCTTAGCCAATTTCAATCACATTTTGAAAAATATAAAAAGTACCCTTTGTGAGTCAACTTTTATCATCTTCTCCAGTTCCAGAAACTAAACAAAGTTGAATAGTTTACCATGAATTCTGAATATAAAGACAAGTTTTTTTTAAGTTATTAAGACATCAATACCTTTCTTGACTAGAATTGCTATTGCTATTGGTGAAAACCAAGCATATAATTTTAAAAATTATTATCATCACTCATTGAGTCATTGTGACTACTTATATAAATATTAACCTATATAGGCTAAAAATTAAGTAAAGAATTTTTAAATATATGCTTAAGGTAACTTTTAAGGTATCCATCACACAGATTCATTTAATTAGATGTAGGATTTCTACAATAGGTAATGACAACAACACAAAAAAAGCAGGCTCTGAAAGGTATCTCCAACTTCCTCTGTGACTATCTTACAAAACAACATGTTAAAAGTTTGATGCTGCTCATAAAGACGAACCGTCAATAATTTTTCTAAAATTGAAATACAATCATTAATATGTGGTGTTCTGCATTCTCTGGCTTGGAGACCTCCTTGATTTATTACATAATTGTGGTCAACCATTCCAGACATTTCTAAATTGTACAAATGTTCAAATAAAGTTTTAAAAAAATGTTTATCCCGTTCCAATTTTGACCTTACTAAATTTAGTAAACTCTCTGGTCCTTGGAGGCACAGTTTGAACATAAAGTTCCACTGGCTTATGGTCGATTTGTAAACACACACTAGCCAGAAGGAGGCAGTTCTCAAGAGCCTAGTCATCTAATGGTAGCTCTAAATGGCTCCTGTAATTCGACTGGGTAGCCCATATGACTTAAAAAACAAGTGTTTGATTATGAATACCTTAAAGCTGCAATGAACTAGTGAGGAACCAAAGCTAAATTTCAGCTCTAAACTTACTTATTTTATTCACATACAGAACATTAATATACAATAACATTTATTTCATTCATTCTCACAAGTGGTCACATGGACAGAGTACTCACTCCTTCTCCTGTGGGAAGCTGCCCATTGATGTTAAGTGTTCGGAATGGGGAGTGAGTGGATAAGCGTTTATCCCATTCACTAGGCCGTGGTTCTGGTACAGATTCCATGAAGTTCTTTTTCAGCTCACTGATGCTGGCATGATGTTTTTTTATCTCTTCTTGACTTTTGTCTAAATCCTGTAGTTGAAAGGACAAAGATGCAAAATTATGAATACTCAGAGGAAAAAAACACATCACGGGAAGCCCACCAGACTATGGGCACTGGTAGAAAACACCACATCCAGGGCAGATGTTACTAATCCATAAATTGCATTTAAATTTTAAATATACGACATGGTATATTTGCTTGCCTTTCTTTCTTTTTTTTTTTTTTTAATGAGGTGCTTTTCTTGGAAGCAGTGAAGCATCATAACCCTACAGCTCTTAGCAGTTCTGTAACCCACAGACCTCACTCCTTAATTTTGCAACTTTTCTTTGCATTAGGACGCAGCGCTAGATCTCCAACTCCTCATCCCAAGAGGGTAATCTCACAGCTCAATTAGCGTTGGCTTGATATGAACTGATTGAGGCTCAGCTCAGGCAGGATGGAGACAGCAATAGAGAAGGAGCAACTATTAAACAAAGGACATGATAAAAGATGCAACTGCCACCAAAGCTGCTTTGCTTTGGTGAGTTGCAATCACACAGCATCCCTCTATTTCTACCTAGAGATAGTTTTGCTTCCTTATTACTAGGTGGATATTACTGGTTTTGATAAACAGGAATAGCCCTTTCTTGTCATAAGAATTTATTACTAGAATTTCTGGCTCAAGCCTTGAGAGCAAATTGTTACCACCTATGAAAAATCACTCAGGTATGTAATATAATGGCTTTTTTTCTTTACCAATACTATTCATGCAAACTAAAAGACTTATGCCTTCCAGGACGCCTGGGTGGCTTAGTCGGTTGAGCGTCTGCCTTCAGCTTAGGTTATGATCCCAGGGTCCTGAGATCAATCCCTGAATCCAGCTCCCTGCTCAGTAGGGGTCTGCTTCTCCCTCTCCCTCAGTGTTCTCTCTCAAGTAAATAAAATCTTAAAAAAAAAAAAAAAGCCTTATGCCTTCCAGCTACTGACAGCTTTACTTCATCCCTTAGTAGAATTCAAAATAGGGACCTTCTTCCAGTAACTTTCAATGGACTGGAAGTAATTTAACAAGAATTCATCAGATACCTTATATATCTTCTCAACAATTTAAAATATCTCAACTGTTCCAGCATATTTGGATACTGGACAACTAGGTTTAATATCCCTTAAATGGGATATTCCAGGGAGAAAGGATCAAAACTTAGGTTAATAAAGCTAGAAATAACATTCAGGTTTATTTAACAGGAGGCATATAAAACTTTTAAAAGGTAGACTTGGCCAGAAATAAAATGGGAAATACAATTTAAAGACAAAAACTGAAATGTTCTTTGTCCAACATACTTCTCCAAAAAAGCTCAGAAGATCTATGCTTGAGATCAAAATATGTGGGAACCTGTCACTTGATGAATGCTAAAAATTCTGTGTTTATTATATATCACGGCAGCTCTGTATCCAAGAAAAGCATAATATTAAATATATCTTTTAAAATGCTGTGTAAATTTTGAGATTAGCCTTTCTTTCTTTTTCTCTCTCTTTCTTTCTTTCTCTTTCTTTCTCTGTGGGAAACCACCACATTTGGGGAAAAAAAAAACAAACTCATTTAAATGAAAATTTGTTTGAAAAATTTTTCTGGAGCAACGTATGCTTCAACTAAATAAAATTTTTTTCAAAAGGAATGTCAAAGGGAAAATAGCATAGGAAAAAGAATTGGTGAGGCACATGACATAATTTTGATTCTGGAGATATTCATTCAGAAAATTCACTTACTAGTCCATTCTTCTTATTTTTGCAAGACTAAACCATGTATATTTGCTTTGAGATCAAAGAGAAAACTAACCCAAAAAGGGCAATCCTGTAGCTTCCCCATAAAATTACCTCTTGCTTGTTGGGATGAAATGTGAGTATAGCCCATGAATATGGGCTTCACCATGAGGAAACAACAGTGTGCACTTTTACTCTAGCTGAAAGCAAGAAAAGCATGTTTACTAGCTAAAGAAAAGCATGAACAAGCTTGGTCAAAGACTCAGTAGTAGGCTAAGCAACTGAGACCCATAAGGCATGTAAGGCTCTGTGACCCAGCTCCTAACTGGAAATTAAATCTGCTTGGTCCAAGAACAACTTAACACATTTGGGAGAGTTACAAGTATGAATGGAGCAAAACAAAAATGAGCAAGAGATGCTATGGTAAAACCATAACTCTCTGGGTTAGCCTCTTAATATGAGAGTGGTGATTTGTTACTCTTCTTGCCTAGCTTTTGATTGGCTTGGAACCTGAGAAAAATAAATGTTTCAATAAAATCAGTAGCTTCTGAAGGAGCTTTCTCCATCCGTCTTAGCTGGCTCTGTTAGAAACCTGTGGGGGCACAGAGTAAAATTAAGATCTCAAAGGGACCTGTTCCAAATAGAATTTGTCATAGACACTTGCTACAGGTTCTCTCTGGGAGATGGAGGAGGAGGCAGTACATCTAAAAATGAACTCGACCTTATTTGGCCAGAACAAAGCATTAGTGGGGGTGGGGTAGGAGAGATGCTTTAAAAAAAACAAAACAAAACAAAAAAACTCTACTAGAGTGACAGATAACTTGAGAGAACATCCTTATGGGGCGGGGGAGGGGGTGGAAGGGAGACAAAATTTTTTTTTTACTGTAACTAGAGAATGATGGTTAGCCAAATTACTGTGGCTGTTTTTAGGCTAGATACTTTTTGATACTTATCATCTTATAATTTTAGCAGCAGCCAAACCAAACCATTAAATATAAAATGTTCTCAAAAAGTAGTTAGTAGTTTTAATTTTCAAACACACACTTATTAAGAAATCCCCTCTTGTGGCTATCAATGCAATGCTGGGGAAAAAACACATCACACACAGGGACTCTGTGAGTCTCAGAAGCTATAACACACCTCATTGAACAAATGACAAATATATGATTGGTACTGCAGGTTCCAGTCAAAAGGAAGCACTAAAGGGGCGCTTGGGTGGCTCAGTCGTTGAGCATCTGCCTTCGGCTCGGGTCATGATCCCAGGGTCCTGGGATCGAGCCCCGTATCGGGCTCCCTGCTCAGTGGGAAGCCTGCTTCTCCCTCTACCACTCCCCCCACTTGTGTTCCCTCTCTCGCTGTGTCTCACTCTGTCAAATAAATAAATAATATCTTAAAAAAAAAAAAAAAAAGAACAAAAGGAAGCAATAAAGATGGACTAGTAAAGCAAAAGGCATGTTTGGGATTGGGAGATGTTACACTGCCAAGTACATCAATTGACCTCTGTAATTCTTCCTAATCCCAGAAGCAGAACCATTCACGTCTAGTTTTAGTTATGAGCTCAAGCAGAGATCTAGTTGCTGAGTTTGAAATGTCCTAGAGTCCAGCCTTAAAAAACCTCATGTTACATGAGGTAAGTGTACATAAAGCATTTAGTATTGTGCCCATCGTACAGTACGTGATTAATGAAGGCTGGCCATAATTTTTATTACTTTTATTAAAGTACCTTAACATAGCAAGCACTCAAAATACATGTTTTGACAAAAAATAAGACATGGTTAAATAACTATTAGAGGCCATTACATTAAACCAGAGTTCTATCTAAAAAAGTTTCTTCAGATATCCAGTTTAATAATATTTAGCACATTTCTTATATGTTCATCTTTCAGGTCTCAGCTAATATGTTATCTCTCCAGAGAGAACTTCCCTGTCCATCTTATTCAGAGTAGATTTCCTTTCTTAGCACAGCATACTGCTTATTTCCTTCATAGCTTCTATAATAACTTGAAGTAATTTTATCGCTATTTTTTTTAAATGTTTACTGTCTCTCTCCTCCCTACTTCTATACATTGTTAAGTTTCCTGAAGGCAGGAACAATGTTTATCATCTTCCTCTGTACAAATACAGAGGAATTTATATGTCCTTCAAATTTAAGTTAAAATCCCCAGTATCAGAGTTATAGTCATTTCTTTTGGCTCTGTCTTGAGCAAAATCATAAGATAATCTGGTCAACTTTTATATAAGAGTCTTAGTGAGTTATAAACTAATGTAGCTTCAGTGTTTTCCACATAGGTAACTCCATGTTCTTTATTTTTTCCTCATAGAGTTCCCCTACTCTTCTAATTAGCTTCATATTTCCCTATCCAGTGTGGAGCCCCAAACTAGATAAGTATACTAATATAACTCTGGTAGAAAGCAAATTATTGTTGAATGTAATGAGAAAATGACCTTACAATTCCTATAATAGACAGTATGTTGCTATTTCTGAATGGAAAAAGTGTAGTTTAATAAAGATAGATAGATAGACCCTAACTCAAATCCTAGCTTTACCAATTTACTGGCTTTGTGACCACAGACAAATTAAATTTCTCTAAGGTCAATTTTCTTATCTTTAAAATAATAATCTTATGGCCACAGATCTGTTTTTGTAATTAAACTATCTTATATCCTATTAACTATGGATTAAATACCAGGTCCCTTCTTTCCTTCCTGTATCTTTTTTCTTTCCTGACTGTCCTGTCATTTTTTGGTATTCCCCAATTTTTAACTCCATTTTGAATTGTGATCATTTCTCCTACTTTTCCACACTCTCTCAGTTCAGAAGATGAAAAATACAGTATGAATTTGATGCTTGGGACATATAGGAGTTTATACTCTTGGAAAGTTCAAGGAATTTTTGACAGTGATGTAGAATTTTCTACAAGTGGGTAAAACAATGGAACCGTGAGAAGCAGGGATAGTCCCAATCATATATTTTTTAGGTAAGTATGACAGATGGAAACTAAAAAGAGTCAGAAAGAGAGATGGTTGCATATCTTCATGTTTACCAACATGCAAAAGCATTTTAAACCTAAAATTCTTTCATGCAATGGCATGCAAAACCAAACGCAGAATAAAGAAAGGGATGATTGCAAAGAATGCAGAAGGTTATAGGCAACCAACTAAAATAAGCTTCAAGTTCATACAAACCTCCAACATTAAATTGCTATGTCTGATATAAATGTTTTCACCATCTAGTCTCTCTCTCTTTTTCTGTGAAAATGAAAGAGGGAAAAACAGAAAAGCATAAAAAATTAAAATGTTGTTCTTGCGGGAAAAAACTGCAAATTGGCAAACCAAAAAAATTAAATGTCCACAGCGCAGCATATGCCAACATGAAATGGTCACAAAACTACAAGGACACACACAGAACACATTACCACTAGAAAACAGATGACCCTATTCATGAATGATGGAAGAAAATGATGACCTTATTTAAATAGACAGTGCTCCTGGCTTCATTGGCTTCTTACATATTAAGTTGTTTTATGCTCATTCTTGAAATCGAACTGTTTGAGGGTTATCTTAAAATACGTGACTTAAAGAAGCTTTGAAATTCCATGTTCCATGGCATGGAGAAATGCTTTAAAACATTATTTACCCTTTTGAGGTATATTTCATACTGAGTAAATACCACAGTACGTATATCTCTAATACTTTTCATAAGAAAGATCTAAGGGCACTTAATACATGATTAGTCAATATTCTCTTCAGTAAGAACTGATACATCCCACTCTATAGTTGGGAAGAATGGGCGCAGAGCAGCAAAACACACAGTTATTAACAAAACCAGGAGTTGCTGCTACGATGGTTTCCATATAAGTATGTATCAAATATTGTCCATGATTCCAAAAATATGGTGCCACTGAAATATTCCTTATAAAGTTTAAACATGAAGGGTAGGTTTGGTCTTCACTAGTTATTTCATTGTGTTTGAAAAGATATTTTCCTCCTGGGAATTTCAACAAATAGTATAGGATTATAATTTCTTTGGTATACATATGTATGTGAGCGTATGCAAATATATATATGCGCAAATATATATCTGCGATTTGAAAGTAATTTCTTATGAAGAGAAATCAATGAAAAGAATGGATCACTGTCTTTTTAGCACACTGTAGAAGTCAGCATGGGTGATGGTAATGCAGTTTTGTGAAAGTGAAAAATGGCTGACCTTCCTCATTCTTATCAGATCTTCAGTTTTTTCTGCAAGCTGCCATTATTAAAAAAAAAGAAAAAGAAAAATGATAAAATATTGGCTCATTGAAGTTTGTTTGAACCTTTATAGTATTTTTTAAGGGAAGGGAGTTGGGGAGAAGAAAAAAATTGAGGAGGGAGGAGAAAAGGAACAAGCGGTCTGTTGGCACAAACCTGTGTTTGGTCACCATTTGAGGTGGGTACTGTGACCTCGATGTGGGTTTTTTCCACCTATATTTAAAAAATAAAGTGGTAAAAACATTTTAGATTAGTAGGTTTCTATGAGAAGCATTATTTCCAAATAAGCTGCATCTTTAAGCTGGTTGTGTAATCAACATGATGCAGTCTTATGGGGGTGTGGCAGGAAAGGATATTACTCTCAATGGTCATCGCCATCATATTTTCAAGGCTGAAGAGGTAATATGGACAGCCACATGATCATAAGAGAAAATTAAGATAATTATTCCACCGATGAAGCAAACATTTTTACACTTAATTAACAAAAAAGTACTTATACAAAAAATAATTTGGGCTTAAATAAGGCATGTGTTTTTGTTTCAGCTTTTTTTTATGATCTAGAAGTTCTTTAACATTTAAAAACAAATTTTCAAATGAAGATATCAAGGTAGGACATACATGACAAAAAGAATATCTTTACAGTTAAAGCACACATATAATAAACCACATATGACACAAAGCAGGTAAATACAAAAAAAAATTGTTAGTTGATCAATATATTTAAGGAGGCAGTTTCATCCTTGAGTTTATTAGACAACAAAACATCAAAATAAACTCAATCCAAATTGTTACTGATGCATGCAATTACTTCCGAGGATGATTTATAAATAAGCACACATAGGGCTCAGCTGCAATATTTAGCACTCTGTCATCTCCTCTCCAGGGAGCTAGAGCCCATGTGTTTGGTGGATGGACAAGATTCATCCTTAACAGTAGGAAGAGAATAACTAAGGCCTCCTGCCTAGCTTTGAAATACCTTTAGTAATAGTCATTTTATACACCCAAAATGGAGTAAGTATAAATTTAAGAAACCCAGACAGACTATTAAGAGGAGGCATTTTAGAGTGAGCAATGCCTAAACAGCAGGTATTTCAAAATTAGAAAACTTTTCATTAAGGATCAAGTCAATCACTTCCCATCATTAACTTCTTTATAGAACCCCACCAATCTGTGGTTTTGACACATTCTTTTTAATCACACTTGGCAGCATTACCTTGGAGTATAATGTCATTGTGCTATTTTCCCTGGGACAGAATGTAGAGAACATAACACCAAACTTTGTGATACTGTCAAATAAATCATAAGCACATCCAGCTATAGTACTTTTAACTACCAGGATAACTGACAATTTGGGTCATTTCTATTATGAATCCCATTATATTTGCTGTATGGTCATTAGCAAGTTATTTCCCCTAAGTTTTTTACTGATAAAGTGGAAATAATATATCCATAGAGTTGGGAATGTTTAGCAAATGGTAGTTTTAAATTATTTTGTAAAGCTTACATTAGTTATTTCAGTGAATAATGACCTGCTTTTTTCTAACAGCAAGAAATTGAGAGCCTCTACTTCAGTCTAAGAGTGGAGGCCAAGTAGCAAGGTGGTTGTGCCCCTTCGAGAACATTAAATAAGAACATAGGGGCAAGGTACTATTCCACACCCACAAAATAGGTCTTGTCAAATGACTCAAGATGCAAAAAGCTACCTCTATCTGGCACCAAATTCATGTTAGATAATGAAATTTATACAGTGTTACAAGGTTATTTTATTACTACTATTGCTTTACATAATAACGATGGCTTCAGGTAAATTCCATAATTATTTTCTGTTGCTACAAATAAAATCAACTCAGAGTCACCCTTAATTCTGTCACTACTATTATAGTAATAGAAGGTTATCAGAGGTGATTTTCAGTCTGATCTCTACACAAGTATCTCAAAACATATATGTACACAGAATTAATCAGCAAGAAAACCACCTACTGGCACTTAAATGAGCATATACCAGGAAGTGATCTCTCCCCTCTGTCAAGGTCCCAAGAGCAACAGGAACCTATTCTTGAAGATACCTCTGTCTGACCTATAGGCTAAAGAACAAGTATGGGGGCACCTGGGTGGCTCAGTTGGTTAAGCAGCTGCCTTCAGCTCAGGTCATGATCCCAGGGTCCTGGGATTGAGCCCCACGTTGGGCTCCCTGCTCAACAGGGAGCCTGCTTCTCCCTCTCCCTCTGTCCCCCAGTCATGCTTGCTTTCTCTCTCTCAAATAAATAAATAAAATCTTAAAAAAAAAAAAGAACAAATATGTTAGCAGAATACCAAAGGAATCTTAGCCACTCAAAAAGATTCCTTTGCCAACTCCAGTAATCCAACACTTCCCATTTAGCACAACAAATGGAGGGATAGTCAAAAGTGCCAGATGAGATATTCTAACATTAAAAAACTAAGGTAGTCTAACCTTAAAAAGGCACTGTTAATACTGAACCTGATGGTCAATTTCATACACATCTGGCTAGGTTAAAAAAAATACAAATATCCACCATTTGCTCAATTTTTTCTCTTTGGATTCAAGTTGGTCTCAAAGGGCAGTAAAAACAGCATGTCATGTTCAACAGTTTTGGTTTTTTGGGTTTTTTTTTTTAAATACAGTCAAAACTAAGCCAAACTGGCCACTGCTCTACAGATGTTAACTAGATACTGAACCGGGTCCAAAAGAACAGGATTAATCCATCTGCCAAGATGAGAGCATTTACTAAGGTCTTACATGGTTTAAAAAAAAAATTTTTTTTTTTGTTTTAAATTTCTTGACATATAAAAATGTAATTTTTCTTTTAAAAACTACCTCTATTAATTCCTGTTGTCAACAGTGATACTTGTATTTATGTCATTAAATCTGAACATCTCAACTCCATCACTGCTTATATGTGTTTCAAAAGCTTATCAACACATAAAAGATCAGTCCAGTTACTGTTAGTACTGGGAAATCTGCTAATTGGTGATTTTTTTTTTTTAAGATTTTATTTATTTATTTGAGAGAGAGAATGAGATAGAGAGAGCATGAGAGGGTCAGAGGGAGAAGCAGACCAGGGAGCCCGATGCGGGACTCGAACCCGGGACTCCAGGATCATGACCTGAGCCGAAGGCAGTCGCTTAACCGACTGAGCCACCCAGGCGCCCCGCCCCCCAGGTCTTTTAAAAATAAGAGAGTAACTGAAGATTTAAGACTATCTCTTACTAAAAATTGATTGTGAATATTCTCTGAAATTAACACTAAATCTTGGTTAAAATATTAAGACTCATTCACATTTGGGAAAATTAGTAATATGATAATGGAGTTTATTTATTTATTTATAAGATTTTTTGTTTATTTTTTATTTTATTTTATTTTATTTTATTTTAAGATTTTATTTATTTATTTGAGAGAGAGAATGAGATAGAGAGCATGAGAGGGAGGAGGGTCAGAGGGAGAAGCAGACTCCCCGCCGAGCAGGGAGCCCGATGTGGGACTAGGTCCCGGGACTCCAGGATCATGACCTGAGCCGAAGGCAGTCGCTTAACCAGCTGAGCCACCCAGGCGCCCTAATTGGTGATTTTTCAACAAGGTCAGTGACTGTGGGTACAATCAACTCAGAACTGTAAGCAACTCAGTGGCATAATCGCCCCTACATAAGGATCTTCACCGTTTTGTAAACAATTTGATTTGAACAACCACACAGATGTGCTTTATGTAATACTAACTGGGATATTCTCTAGGTATGTTGCACATATACTCATCTTAGGAAATCAAATTATATTTTAATTCCATTAGCAGAGCTTACTCTTAAAAAGGAATGTGGAGATTCCTTCTGGTTGAACAAAAATTATTTTTAAGAGCAGATGATCACAGTGTTAAAAACTCTTTTCTTTTAGATATAAGTTAGATAACAGCAGTGTAGGTAGGTCACCTGAAAACTCAGATGGCTTAGTCTTCATGACATAATTCTATGAAAATATTTTACAGGTTCATGGGGAATACTTTCTTTTAGAAAGAGTAAAGAAGAAATAACTTTGTTAGAATTCTACAAGAATCAATGCTTTGAAAACCTTCCTGGCCAAGGAGTTAACATGTCTAAATCAGAAAGTATTAACTGAATTTAAATAAAAAATTTTTTTAAAAATCAGAAAGTAAACTAGCCAGATATCTGGACTTACGGCATACCTTCCACGCTTCTGTGGGCTCTGGCTCAGCTTGCTCGGGCGGCACTTCTTCCTTTTGCTCTTCAACCTTCACTGTTTCCTTCTCTGCTTTAGAAACCTCTGTGTCCTCACTCTGAGCAATGGCTGGTGCAGAGGTGGGCCGGGGACTTCGGTCTGAATCAACAGCTGCTGCTACATAAGAAAGGGAAAAGGAAAGATAAGTGAAGGCAAGAGTCACAATACTACTTCAGAGTCACCAGGTAAAATAATTGTGAATCCAGGACACAGTATCCAGCAGGCTATCATACAGAAAGTAAAGAATAAATCATTAGTGCTCTGCCAGGTAACTGATGGCATTAAAAAAGCTAAAACAGAAAAGTTAAACTATGCTATCATGTTCCATAAGGGGGCGGAGGGGATCAAAATAAGAAAAGAAATTAAAAACTCTTTCTATTAAAAAGTTAGCAAGACTGTTTAACCTTGTACTCTGTTAGTTTTAAGAACCTGCAATGTAGTCTATGGAGAAAAAAAAAGAGGTTAATTAAGTCTGACTTCTTTCATGAAGCCATATTGACACACAGATCCATTTATATATAGGTGATTTTAGGAACCTAAAAAATATGTTCTAGGAAAAAAGGATCAAGTCTGATTTCTTCCATGAAGCCTGCTTGGAATGATTACAAAGTAACTTGATAAACTGATCTTGTAAGATATGCACACTTTTTGATGCTTAAAGGCAAACCTTTGAACCAGATACTTGCCCTTTTAACAAGTCATTTGATTAAAATAATATGAATTCAAAACCTTTGGCCTTTAGTCCTTAAAAAAAAAACAAAACTTTTTTGAGTTCTCTCCTACCTTCTCTCAGAATCTTATAATTTGTATTACAGTCCCTCTTCTCTAACATACCTAGGGCAGTGGTTCTCAACCAGGAGTGATTTTGTCCCTCAGACAATATTTGGGAATGTCTGGAGACGTTTTTGATTGCTACAACAGGGGAGAGAAGTAGGAGGGGGTACTGGCCAAGGTTGCTGAGATTAAGAAACCTTGACTTAGGGAAAAGGCTGTATATAGACTGTTCTAGAGACAATACGCAATATAGGCTTATGACAAAAGCTTGATCTTTTCAGAGTTAATAATTCACATATACATACTTCATAGTAACCTCACTTATCTGGCAGTGTCTGGGAATGCAGTGTGTCTCCACATGATTTGTTTATTTATTTTTAAGTAGGATCCACGCCCAGCATGGAGCCCAACTCAGGGCTTGAACTCATGACCCTGACATCAAGACCTGAGATGAGATCTAGTTGGATGCTTAACCAACTGAGCCACCCACATGCCCCTCCATGTGATTTAATATTTCCGATGACAGATCATTATCCTTTCATGTACTGAGATTTTTAAATTTTAATTATTTTTGCATGGAAATCCTTACAACTTTTATTGTATGCTTTCCTGCCTTCTTAAACTGAATATACTGAATTTTTTTTAAAGATTTTATTTATTTGACAGAAAGAGACACAGCGAGAGCGGGAACACAAGCAGGGGGGAATGGGAGAGAGAGAAGCAGGCTTCCCGCAGAGCAGGGAGCCCGATGTGGGGTTCGATCCCAGGACCCTGGGATCATGACCTGAGCTGAAGGTAGACGCTTAACGACTGAGCCACCCAGGCGCCCCTATACTGAATTTTTTTTTAAAAGATTTTATTTATTCTTTCTTTCTTTTTTTTTTTTGAGAGAACATGCCCGGTCGGGGGAGGGGCAGAGGGAGAGAGAGAGAGAGAGAGAGACTCTTAAGCAGGTGCCATGCCCAGCCCAAAGCCACGCTCCATCTCACAACCCTGAGATCATAACCTAAACTGAAATCAAGAGTCTGACGCTTAACTGACTGAACCACTGAGGCAATTCTGAATTAGTAGTAAATATTAGCTAAAACAAAGGAATTCCATGAATCAGAACAGATAAAAAATTGGAATTCACAACTACTTCGTACATACAACTCCAAGAAAAAAATGCTTGTTACCCAGTAATAATCTCCAGTGAAAGAAATCATTCCTCAAAGGATACACAGGAAAAACAGGAGAAACACAGGAATCATCTATCTTCCAGTGAAAATTCTGTGGCCTCTTGCAAGTCCTTGCTTCTCATGGGTGCTCTAAGCTACTCAATGCAAGAATGGCAGATGGCAGACCAAATCTAACAACACAGGGGAATGTGACAAAATATTTTGCTCACAGTTGTGTTAAACTATCATTATACATGTGTATTCACACCTCCTCTCAAAGAATTAATTCAACTCTGCCTGGCATCATAGAAACATAGCCCATGCTTTCACCATGTGTTATTTTGCCACTTGCATTTGGTTTTGATCCAATACTAATACTGCAGAGCCAAATGATTTATGTCTTTGGTATTCCTAGCCCTGGCAATCTGTACTGTCTGTGGAAAAGTAGGTATAGGGCGCCTGGGTGGCTCAGTCGTTAAGCGTCTGCCTTCGGCTCAGGTCACCTAAATCTTGTAATAGCTAACAAATAAATTCACAAAACTGAAGAGCCAAAACATCTTAAAAAACAATCACTACCCCCAAAAAATATACAGAAAAGCATTGAATTATGCAATCAAAATGGGAGAATTATATGGTGTGTGAATTATATCTCAATAAAGATGTTTAAAAACAACAACAACACTAATATGATTTTCTGCTCTGATCCATACTTTGTAGTCTTCTTACTGAGAAAAGGAAAGAAATTTGCTTCTCTCTAGGGCTCCCAGGTGAAATCTTTCACTTGAATTGCCTATCAGTATGTGCATAATTAATTATTTCCCAACATACTATTGAAATATTAACCCATAACAAAAAAATACAAAGACTTAGAGGTATGACATTAAAAGTTTTAATATTTCGGGTTTATAAAGTATTTTTATATCCATTGAGTGTGCATTCCCTAACTATTCTATAGAGTTAATACCTTCTACATTTTACAAATGGTGAAACTTTATGCCTCTCTTTCTAACTGCCAGTTTCCACAGTTATACCTACTTTTCTTTTTCTTTTTCTTTTTTTAAAATTTTATTTATTTATTTGACAGAGAGACACAGTGAGAGAGGGAACACAAGCAGGGGGAGCGGGAGAGGGAGAAGCAGGCCTCCCGTCGAGCAGGGAGCCCGATGCGGGGCTCGATCCCAGGACCCTGGGATCATGACCCGAGCCGAAGGCAGATGCTTAACGACTGAGCCACCCAGATGCCCCGGTATTTGTTTTGTTTTAAAGCTCCAAAGATGATATGGGTGTATTCCCCTGGCAAGAATCACTACAACCACTATTCACCAAGAGGATGAATTGTCTAGTTGTGTGACCCTAACAAGTTATATAATTTTTTTGTGCCCCAGTTTCCTCATGATTAAACCAAGAATTCCTAAATGCTTCTTGTTCATTAGGTTGTTGGTACTAAATAGGAATATACAGAAATGGTTTGAAAAGCGAAAAGTGCAACGAAAATATAAGCTGAAAAATCTTTGTCATCATTATTAGCTATCCTTGTGACTTACCACTCTAACGTATAAACTGGGATCTCAAGAACCAGTTTTAGCGTCTCAGCTGGTGAAGCAGATGCTCTGAGCAGCAGATAGAACACAAAAGGGAGTGTTCATATGTATCATTAAAATGAGGGCGTTTATAAAACAATTCTTGTAAAAGTTTCCTAATATACCATCTCTAGCTTAGAGGCTTATATTTTATATATTTATATAAATATATATATATATAAAGAGGAGGGCCTAACAGGGAAAAGTCTCTTTCTTAAGATGAATAGAGAAGGATCTAGGAAAAGGAGGGAAAAACAGTTTCCATAGACCTGTTTCTAATTCTTGTACTGAGAAGACAGCACACAGAGAAAAAGAAGACATTTGGAAACAAAACTAAAAAATATTGTCCTATTCAGTTTATTTGTAATTCAGAGACTTAAAAGATAGTACCACACACGTAAAATACTTAGAACAGTGCCTGAACATACTAAGTGCTCAACAAATATTACTATTTTTTATTCTTCCTCTTCTAGAAAAAAAAAAGTCATCATGGTGAACAGTAAAAAAACATGGGTCTGAGAGAACAGTCGTAGACTCTACTTCTAGTTTTGTTGCTATGTGACCTTAGGCAAGTCACTTAAATTCTAAGATTAGGTTGTAAGAAATAATGAACAGCAATGGGTATCCATTTCAAGAAATGAAAAACAGTAGTTCAGTAAAAGTAGAAAGAAAATAATGAAGATATTAGCTGGCATAAATTAAAATATATATAATATGAGAAAACAAAAAAACCCCCAAAAGTTGGGTCTTTGAAGATATTAATAAAATTAACAGATCTGTAGCAAGATTATTCAAGAAAAAAAGAAGCACAGCTTACCAATATCAGGAACACAAAAGAAAACACTGCTATAGTTCTTAGAGATATTAAAAAGATACCCAACGTTATATGAATAAATTTAAAAATTTAGAGGGAGGGGCACACTGGTTAAGCGTCCGACTCTTGGTTTCGGCTTGGGTTGTGAGATCAAGCCCAGCGTCAGCTCTGCACTTGGCATGGAGTCTACTTAGGGCTCTCTCTCCCTCTCCCTCTGCCCCTCCCCCTGCTCCCTCTCTCTCTAATAGATAAATAAATCTTTTTAAAAATTTTAGATGGAATAGGCATTTCCTGGAAAAGCACAATTACCAAAACTGAAACAAAAACTAGAACATCTTAATAGTCCTTTATCTAATAAAGACATTGAATCTGAAAGTAAGGAACTCCCCCACAACGAGATCCCTAGGACCAGATGGCTTTATCAGTGAATTCTTCCACACACTGAGGAAAAAATACCAACCTTACACAAACTCTTCCAGAAAACAGAAAAAGAGGGAATCCTCCTCAATTTATTTTATGAGGCCACCGTACACTTGATAACTAAAACCTGACAACATTACAAGAAAGGAAAATAACAGGCCTATCTCTCTTATGAAAATAGTTGGGGGCGCCTGGGTGGCTCAGTCGTTAAGCATCTGTCTTCGGCTCAGGTCATGATCCCAGGGTCCTGGGATTGAACCCCATATCGGGCTCCCTGCTCTGCGGGAAGCCTGCTTCTTCCCTCTCCCACTCACCCTGCTTGTGTTCCCTCTCTCACTGTGTTTGTCAAAAAATTTAAAAAAATAAAATCTT